CAGCTTAAAAATACAGTGAATTGCTTGCTTGATCTATATAATACTTTCGTCACAGAAATTATCTAATATAGTAACATATCTCTAAAGCATACTTTCTTTCAGCTTAAAAATAACAGTGAATTGCTTTGATCTATAATACTTTCGTCACAGAAAATTATCTAAATATAGTAAATATCTCTAAAGCATACTTTCTTTCAGCTTAAAAATAACAGTGAATTGCTTTGATCTATAATACTTTCGTCACAGAAAATTATCTAAATATAGTAACATATCTCTAAAGCATACTTTCTTTCAGCTTAAAAATAACAGTGAATTGCTTTGATCTATAATACTTTCGTCACAGAAAATTATCTAAATATAGTAACATATCTCTAAAGCATACTTTCTTTCAGCTTAAAAATAACAGTGAATTGCTTTGATCTATAATACTTTCGTCACAGAAAATAATTTTAGTTTATGTTATGTATTCTTATGATTTCGATTATGACTTCTTTCTTGCCTCGGAGGAAATAAGAGCTTTTCATTGGTTTTATTATTTTATGTCCAGATCATTTTTCAATTTTTAAACTCGCTGTTCAGCTCAGATATGCACCGTTTTCAATTAGCCTAAACACGGACATTTTCGTGTTTATCCCAGGTGTAAAGTGAATGCCAGACAATTTCATATAAAACGTCCTCCATGAAGACATCCCTTTCTTTCCATAGACTAACCATAAGCTTAGTGTGATTTGCTGTTGTGAAATTACTCAAATCTAACAGTATGACTTAAATAAACTTGTTTGTGAACTTTTAAGTCATGAAAAAGTCACGCTATGATACCGTCATCCAGCTTAAAAACACACTCATATGTATGCAGTTTCCTCCTGAAAAATAATGGCTATTAACAATAAAACTCAAAAGCAGTTGTGTTTCATAAAGGAATTAACTGTCCATCAGTACCACATACTTTCATACGTGCATTACTGCACATATAAAGGCATTTACTGAAACTTATTGTTATAAGTGAAACTTTCAAGAAATGAAATATCATGAAGTCTGAACAGTAACAGCTTAACACATCGGACTAAGCATTCGAAATATATGGTTGCCTTTTGTATGAGTGTGGTAGCAGGAGCAAAGAGGTCAAAGAAACTCTGAACTAAACTGAGATATTAACTAAAAGGAGTAAAAAGAAAAAAAAAATCTGAAACTTTTTAGATCTTATATGATGACCAAAAGGCGTTTTTTTTCATTTATATACACATACACATTTCAAGAGCATTTGGGTTAACGTTCCTTTGGGCTAAAAATATTTAAAAATACTCTGTCTTTAGAATTTCCGATAGACAGTCTCACGCGCTAGAGATAATTTTTTTCTTTTTTTTAATAATACAATGTTGCCATTGCTCACTTTGAAATCATTGAGCTTGTTAATCAAAAATTCGTTAAAAGTTTCCAAAATATGAAATACACTTTAAAACAAATTCGAAATTAAAAACTCGAGCTTCCAGATGTCCATGTATGGGTGCAGGACTACGTTATTGAAAATTTGATGGCTCCAGGTACCTTTTTTCACAATGCGAAAAACAGGCATACATTCATGCAAATTCTTCATTATGTAATTTATTTAAATATAACACAGGGCGATAATATTTGGTGGCAACAATTTGAAAAGTGATTCAGACTTTTACAATGATTCAACGCAAAATCCCGTCTTCAGACTACTAGCCCTTCTGCGCTAACGCTCCTATGGGCTAAAAATAATGTCCTGAGTCTCTAGAGACATACCAGTCACGTTTACATATCACAAAGCTTCTTGGAAACTTTGCGAAGGCAATGGATGGTACAGAGGAATTACGTTTTCGGAAAATTTGCGAAGGCAAAATTAAACAGGAGTCTTATATCGGTCTTAATATTAGGGACTAGGAAACTAATCGACAATCTATTCGAATGTACAATGATTAAGGATAAATCGGATAGACGAAAGCGAAATGAAAAACATTTGAAGTAAGCAAAAGGCATAAAAATCACAGAGAATGAATTCGCTAATAAATTAAAGAGAGCACACAGCATTTAAATTAGAAAACTGAGTTTTATATACTGAATAAAGCTGAATCTGACGGATGGACTGTGATGCCAAAATTAAGTAAACAAGTCATAAATCATAAAATTTCAGAGAACTAATTAATGACCTTAATTTTTGTAAAACACTGAAGTGCAATAAACCATTTCGTATACATTTTTGGACTTCAAATGTTCAAGAGAAGCCATAAAAAACCAGCTTTAAAAACACTTCCACCCTTTTTGTATAACGAAAACATGTTTTAAAGAAAAATAATTTGCCAGAATGCTTCTGGTGACTGATTACTGTTGGACTCTAGAAAGAGGTAAATATTTTTAAAAAAATCGATTAGAATTTTAAACTAAAAAAATAATTATTAATTGTGCAGATCTTGCGCAAAAATTGCGTTCGATGAAAAACTTTTGATAACCCGATTAGATGTCGTCACAAAAGCAATCTAAAATCCAGTATTTAAAATGTATGCAATTAAACAAATGTTAAATTTTCAGTGTTATTTCGGTACACATTATCAATAGCTGCACTTTTAAGACGAACACAGCTTCAGCAATAGCATTTTAAAAGAGAAAATCATCTTAAATTTAGTCTATAACGAAAAAACAACAAATAAATAAATACATAAAAAAATTAAAAACTGAAAGGTTTTTCATTTTAAATTACGCCCAAAGGAGCGTTTTTTTTTTTTTTTTTTTTTTTTTTTTTTTTTTTTTTAACGTTTCGCGTGTTATCTTATGTTATTCGCACTTAAATCATAAAAATTCAGTTCACAGCATGTCGCAAAATAATTTTAAAATGAGCATAGCTTTAGAATTTCCGATACACAGTTCCGCGCACTGGAGATAAAAAGGTTTTACCCCCCGCCGTAGAGTGCTGCCATTGCTCGCTTTTAAATCGTTGAGTTTGTTAATCAAAAATTCGTTAAAGTTTTATAAAATATGAAATCGATAATACAAATTCCAAGTTTGGGCTTCCAAATGCCTATATTCGGTAGAAGATTACGTTATTCAAAACTGGATGGCTCTAGTTACCGTTGTTTTATCACAATGCGAGAAACATACATACATTTATGCAGATTCTTCCTTATTTAATCTCTTTAAATATAATATAGGGCGATAATATTTGTGGCAACAATTTGAAAAGCGAATCGGACATTAAAGTGAACCAACGCAAATAGCCAAAACGATACTAATAGTCATCCAGGGCAAATTACCCCTTTGGACTATTAAATATAAAAAAAAAAAAAAAAAAAAAAAAAAATTCTAAAAGCTTTCAGATTTTACATTACACCCAAAGGGACGTTTTTTTAACGTTCTGTCTGTGACTGTTATCTATTAAATATCATGTTCTTTGCACTTAAAATAAATAAAATCCAGTTCAACATCATCAACAGAAAATATCTAAAAACAGTATATGTTTAGAATTTCCAATAGACAGTCTCGAGCTATGGAGATAAAAAGTTTTTTTTTTTTTTCGTAGAATGTTGCCATTCCTCGCTTTGAAATCCTTGAGTCTCTTAATCAAAAATTCGTTAAAGTCTGACGAAATATGAAATATATAATAAACTAAATTCGAAATTCAAAATTCGGGCTTATGAAGGATTACATTATTCAAAATTTGATAGCTCTAGTTATCGCCGTTTTTTCACAATGCGGGAAACATACCTACCATTCATGCCCATTCTCCTTTACTTAGTTTCTTTTAAAATAATACACGGCGATAATATTTGGTGGTTACAATTTGAAAAGTGATTCAACCATTTACAGTGATTCAACGTAAAATCGTGTTTCGAGACTGACAAGTCTGAGCTAAAGCTCCTTCGGGCTAATAAATAAATACAAATCCCCAAGATTATTTCGAAATAAGGGATGAGCTATTGAATCCATTTTCATTAATCGAACCTTTTAAATTAGTTCTTACAGTTTGCGGCCACGAAAATAGATAACTTTGATTTCAATTGCTAACTGGAAGTTAATATGTTTTATGGTAAAATGACTCAGATTCAAAATGAAGGAATGGATGAATTATTCATGTGAAATGCTTAAATTCCGTGAATAAATAAACATATACATGTAGATCTCTCTCTCTCTCTATATATATATATCTATATCTATCTATCTATCTATATATATATATATAGAGAGAGAGAGAGAGAGAGAGAGATCTATATATATATAGTTGGTGTTGGTGTATTTAATTATGGCAAAGCACACTAGGGCTATCTGCCTAAAGGGAGGGATGCCTTCGTGGAGGACTTTCTAAGGGAAACTGGCTCGTATACACGTTACACATGGGGAAAACCACGAAAACACCCATGCAGCCAGCCCGTTCGCGGGATTCGAACCTCAGACCGAACTACCAGTGTTCAGCGACTTTACCGCTCGGCCGCTGGTAGGCCTATATATATATAGACAGAGAGATCTACATATATATGTTTATACATATTCGAGATCTGAAAACCTGAATCTTTGCAATTCTTATCGTTCAAATCTTTAGAATCCTAACCTAACGCCGTTGAATGCTAAATTCTAAATTATAGAAAAATCAGTCATATTGGACCAATTATTAACTGAAAATTAAGTATTTTGATTGTTTATTCGTCTTATACTCATTAAAGGACAAAAAGTGAATGTCTCATTTGTCTATAGTTCTCAATATCTAGTCAATACAGCGGGCCTGAGTGCCACACTACACTTATCTTCTAGAGATAATTTAGCATAATTAGTGTTTACATAGATTATTTCTTGAAATAATTATCTCTCTATACCTGGTTTGATTTAAAATAATTCTGGTAAAATTCAAAACATGCGAACAGTTACTAAAAATCTTTTTATTTTATTTTATTTATTTATTTATTTATTTTGTCAAATTTTTGTTAAAAAAAAGGACTATGATTGTAAAGACATTAGGTATTTTGGAAGCAGGAAAGAAGAAAAATGAGCAACGTCCTCGCCGGGAATCGAACCACGGGCCTCTGGAATGCGAGCCCAGCGTGCTGACCACTACACAACCAAGGCATACTGAGAAGGCAGGAGAAATACCTTATATACTCCCTCTTTTAAAGGGCGACTGAGGTTTTTTAGGGGACCCAATCGCCGAATCCTGGGTGTGGAGAATCATCATCCACCACCCATTTAGTGCGTGCACCACTGTACAGACATTAGGATATTTCGGAAGCAAGAGAGATGAAAAATGAACAATGCCCTCGCCGGGAATCGAACCATGGACCTCTGGAATACGCGCCCAGCGTACAGATCACTACACTACGAAGGCTTACTAAGATGGCGGGAGAAATACCTTATATACTTTTGAAGGGCGACTGGGGTTTAGGGGAACCAATCGCCAAATCCTGGCTGTGGAGGATCATCATCCACCACCCTTTCAGTTCGGGCGCCACTGTAGAGTCATGAGGTTATTTTTTAAACAAGGAGAAGTTAAAATGAGCAACGCCCTCGCCGGGAATCGAACCACGGACCTCTCGAGTACGCGTCGAGCATGCTGACCACTACACTACGGAGGCATGCTACGAAGGAGGGAGAAATACCATATAAGATTAAAGGGTTTAGTGAGCATTTGTTCTTTCTAATGTAATTTCATAATATATCTTCTTTAATTTTCTTTTATTCTTTAATATCTTCTTTAATTCTTTAATAAAGTCTGGGTAATCTTCCAGAAAATGTATCAGAACTTATTTTAGGAGAAAAGTTTGAAAGCTCCAATTTTCACACAAATCAGCCTTAAAAATACAATTTGGCAAGAGACTGAGCTTGTTTTGCAAGATAATGTATATCGCGTCATGAGAAGCTCATATGGGTAATGACAGCATTGATTTGAGTGTTCTGAAGAACATCTAAAGGATGTTACACTGAAGAAGAGGCCTTGTATTGACTTCATAATATATCTTCTTTAATAAACCTTGTAGAGTCGTTAGGTTTGTTGAAGCTAGAAACATGAAAAATGTGCAATACCCTTGCGAAGATTCGAACACGGGACATCCCGATTGCTAGCCGGGTGTGTTTCCAACCATACCACGAGAGCACGAGGTAAGGAGGAAGAGAATACCATACAATCTGTTCAATTATATTAATTTCTATGTACAATAAATGGCACATGCCTGTTGTCTTATTTTACAGAAAGCACTGTAAATATTATATATTCAGGAAAAAAACTATAAATTTACCTTTTAATTTTTGTATGTACAAATATTTTAGAAACTTTTATGCATTCACATGATAAATTTATATTTTCACTAAGCTAAGTCCTGTAGTGTGGAAGTTTTTGAAACTGATGCAGATTTCTATAACACGTTTCAATATATGTTGTTCCTTTTGTTAATGTTACAAATAACCGAACATTTGAAACTTAATCTTCGTCGAGAATGGTCAATATTAATCGGTCATTTAGATATCTCATCGCTAAGAACTTTGGCCTGGACAGACCACATGCGGCGACCGAATTACATCCGTGAGTAAGGAAAAATTCCCGAGAATGGTCAATATTAATCGGTCATTTAGATATTTCATCACCGAGAGCGTTGGCCAGAGCGCACCACATGCGGCGACTAAGTTACACACGTGAGGAAAGGGAAATTCTATTTTCTATGGAAAAACCCAAGGAGGGAAGAATCCAATAATGTCCCACCCCGCTTTCTCTACTCCAAACCTCTCGACAGGACTTTCGTTTCGCTAATATTTTTAATGCTTACGTATACATACTTCAAATATGCAAGAGTTTTCTGCGATTCAAACCCGTTCAGTCTGCCGTTCCATATTATTTAATAAATCGTTTCAAAAAAGGGAATCCGTGTAAAGGTCAAGTTGCGCAATTCAAACCCTTGTTGCTCAGAGTGAAGGACCAATTTTAATTAAACGCCACTGCCTTCGCCAAATTACACTGTAAATTAATTCGCTGGAAGTCGAATTCTGATTTGCGTATATCACCGACTGGGAGATCATCTTTCATTTTAAACATACTAACATTTTACATGCAGTTTATTCAACAAAATACTAGTTTTGGCTATAACAACAGCAATAAAAATAATAAAAAAATTCGAAACGACTTTTCTGTTACTATTGTAACTTCTCTTTCCTAAGTCTACTGATTCAAGTGATATCACATTTTAATCTTCTGCGCAGCTGTGGAGGAATAGAACAATTCAATTTCATACGACAAAGTTGCGCAAAAAAAGAGAAAAAAAAGCAACAAACAAACAAGGGCTTGTGTGCGGGGTGGAGTAGGAGCACCTACTCCCGAAGGCATCTGCATGCTTCATATCTCACGACATTAAATAAAAGATACGGGATCCTCTTTTTTCCCCTCCTAGTTTCTCTCTCTCTCTCTCTCAACCAGACATTGGATCTTATTAAAAGGGATCTACCAGAGATTATAATCGCAGCTCGTGTATCTGTCACATTCCACTGGCTGATTTATGAAATTGTAACTTCTCTAAGTCTTGGGAGACTTTGGTTTGCTTCAAGATTAAAATTTTCTAGAAGAAACTGAAATTGGACAGACAGATATACATTTTCTTGGGTTCAACGAATTTCTGTATTTTGGATTGCGGACTTTCGAATTACTGAGCACTAATTTTCCTTTTTTCCTTTTTTTGCAGTTTCACAAAGACCTGTTCAGACACCCACAGTTCCTTCAATACCAATGTTTTAGGAAAAAAAGAACTTTCCCTCCCCAGAAAAGAAAAATAAGACTCGATTCCCCTTTCTTAATTAAATTACCAATTTGGAACAATTCAAAAAGAACCACACCAATTTAGTACTTCTAATTTGTAAAAATAAGTGTCCTCATCTAAAGACCCAGTTATCCAATGGTTAGCGTAACGTATTTGGCGATAAGCAAGCAGTCAGTTCCTTACTAAACGAAAAAGGTGTATAGTTAGATAAAAACTAAATATTAGTTACTGAATTTGTAGCACGTACTGGTGAGGAGACCACTTCACCCGGTGTTGTTGTAACTAAATTTCCTAAACTTCATGATCCGTACATAGTTCAGATCAATATCACGAATTTATCGCAGCCAAGAGGTAGAGATATGCACTTTTGGGCAAGATCTTAGACATCTTTTTGGTAACAGCAAGAAATGGCCAGCTCCGTCCCAGTTTCAATGAAGAGCAATCCAAAAAATGGATCCAAAGGATTATTACCACCTCTTCTTCCACCAACAACCTGGGGAAGGGAACTTTCGACTCAGTAGGTATTACTTTAAAGGATTAAATCAATATACTTTACAAACAAAATACTCGGCTAAAAGTAACACAACGTTTCTAAACTTACAGCCAATGGAATGCTTCGAAGCTACACTACAGGAATTCATACTCAACAATTCAAGTGGCATGTTATGTGGACGTGAAAAAAAAAAAAAAAAAAGAAAAAAACCTCAATTCACTTCCATAGCTAAATTTGAAAGAAACTACAAGCGTTGAGTAACTTAAGTTGTTGTCAATTACTTAGTCCTTATGATAACAACATTTCAGAAACAGAGTCAACATTAGCTCATTCTACCAAGAATCTTAGAATACGACAGTGTAAATACGTCGCGAATTCTCACTATTGTTGCTATGTACCCTCCAGATCTAAGCAGAATGTAGATTAGATACAAGTAGAAGCGATCGTCTGTTGTTGGCCAAAGCCTTGAGCATCTGGCAGCTGATAGTATGATTTTATTCCTCTCCATCCCAATTTTGATCGAGAATACTTTAGCGGATGAAATTCATGGGTCCCGTAAACTTCTTATCTTACCATCACCGACCACCAACGCTTTGGACCAACGACCACCAATGCTTACCACTAACGCTTTGGACAACCATACATTTAAACAAGGAGGTATTAAAAGAAGCTGTCGGACAATTCAGGAACAATCCGACAGACAAAATACCTAAAACTTCCAGTACTTGATCATTTGAGAAAGAACAAGTATATAAGCCACTACGCTGTATGGGTTCCTCACTCTTTAAAAAGAGCTTCCTTGAGATTCGACATGTGATTCTTTGTTGAAAAAAATAAAGAAGCTACTTTTTTTAAATGGCTCATTACTAAGCATGAGAAGTGGATATTATACTGTAGAGACATTAGGTATTTTTGGAAACAGGCAAGATGAAAAATTAGCAACGCCTACACCGTGGACCTCTCAATTACCCGCTGAGCATGCAGACCACCACACCACGATGACATGCCAAGAAAGCGGGAGAAATCTCTTATAATACAATAATGTTAGAACAAAAATGTCTTAAGAGTGAATCAAAAGCACCTTCTTTAGTAACATTGAAAAGGGGACCTGCATCCCCAAACGTAAGGCTTGTATACACTAGGACTACAAAGGAATTGTATACTAAAAAAGTTACCATCAAAGAGACAATAAATTCTGAAAAATACTATTTCCAAACTGCAGTTTTATAAGTAGAAATCGAATAAAGCGCTCAATATGGACCTATGGACCTATCTTCGACGTGTTTCTTCCATCATGGAAATGCTTGCCCTCACATTTCGATGAATGGTAGACAAAAATTAATTGAGTATGGTTATCATGTTTTGTCTCACTCCCGTCATCTTATCCCCTCGGTTTTCATCTCCTCAAGTCACTTTAGAATTAATTCTCTGAATGATTTGCAGTTCGCTTATTTGGAGATAGTCCTACAGCATTGTAATAACTCCTATGCAAATAAATCTAATGACCTTTTTAAAAAATTAATTTTCCAGCTGCTGGAGATACCGTAAAAAGTCATAGAACAAAATAGTGCTCCTGTGATTCAACGAAATAGGTTTTTTTTGTAATTTGCCGCAGAGAGAAAAAATCGCTAATTTTTTTAATAATATCAAACATATAGCATCTTTTTTTGCTCTTTACCTTTTGTTTAATAAATAAGCTTTACAAATAGTCAAATTTGTTTTTCTTCTAACTCTTCCCTTGCCTGATTTTGCATTATCCTTAATTTATGGACATGAGTGTAATTGAGGTATTTCTAAACCTAGCTAACTGTTAAACTTACGCCCCAGTTTTGAGAAAG